ACCAATGAGCTGCGCAGTATCATGTCAATGTGATGACATGCGCTAAAATACCTCCAGCACACAGATCACGGGTCGGGTCACGGGACGGAGACCGCCATATTGGCCGCAGGATTATTGCTCTCCAGACTGTAAAACACAATCTTGTAGCAGCATACCAGATTATGGATGCTGAATTCGAAGCCAGGACCTAGACACCTCCATAAAAACGTGAACAAGACCAATCAGGGAAACCTGAGTCAATAACTATGGAAGCCCCCCCCCCCCCCCAAAAAAAAAGCTGTCAAACCTGCACTGGTCAAGTCCCCGCGTTTCCCACAGACATAAACGTGATCTCACTGACAATCTGTGCCATCCGAACACCGGACGGTCCACAGTACCTGCGTGAGAGTGGCTTTGGCTGTGGTTTGGTAGACGAGGTTCTTGCTGGCCAGGTAGATGTTGTAGCAGGTGCGGACGGCCTGCAGCACGGTGCCCTCGTGGACCTCCACGTGCTGGGAGGTGAGCACCGTCAGGATCGCCTGCAACAGAAGATGGCGTGTCACCAGCCGCACTCAGCCTGCTCCCAGCGTCCGACGGCACTGACAGGCGCACGACATACATGTCCGACATCAGACGAACACACTCACTGACAGCATTTACACGAAATCTTACCATGTGTCTGGCATATTTTACAGACACATACTGTTGTAAGTGCTTTGAATGTCTGTTGCTCCACCAGACTATCGGTAGATGGAACCCCCCTCACCCAGAACATTTGCAGTTGCAACGCCTAAAAGGTTAGTGACAAAATGCTTTAAATGCGATGGAGATAATTATCTATTATTCAATATTCAATTGGCTTTACAGCATCTGTTGCTGCACTTGGCTTTGTGGCGGCTAAAGCCAGTTTGCTGTCAGTAGTTTCTGTTAATCAGTCTTATTCGGCAAAAACCGGCTGACAGCGTATTTCAGCCACCGGCCTACCTTGAGCCGCCCACCCTGCCGAGCAGCGGCCACCGGCCTACCTTGAGCCGCCCACCCTGCCGAGCAGCGGCCACCGGCCTACCTTGAGCCGCCCACCCTGCCGAGCAGCGGCCACCGGCCTACCTTGAGCCGCCCACCCTGCCGAGCTGCAGCCACCGGCCTACCTTGAGCCGCCCACCCTGCCGAGCAGCGGCCATCGGCCTACCTTGAGCCGCCCACCCTGCCGAGCAGCGGCCATCGGCCTACCTTGAGCCGCCCACCCTGCCGAGCTACAGCCACCGGCCTACCTTGAGCCGCCCACCCTGCCGAGCTGCAGCCACCAGCCTACCTTGAGTATCTGCAGCTGGACCTCCTCGTCCGTGTGGGCGCCGGTGAAGCAGCCGCAGATGGTCTGCACGATCCGGTCGATCTGGCGCTGGCCGGCCGTGGTCGCCGTCAGGTCCGGCACGTCCCCCGTCAGGTGGCCGTACGCGATCAGTTTCTGACGGAGACGTGGGCAGCTCAGGCACCCCACACCGCTGAGCGTCTGATGGCCGGCGCCCCGCCGCGGCGGGCGCAGCTGCCCGCCTGCTAGGCGCTTACACGACTAGGAGTGCGACTAGAGGTGATTCAAAACCCCACAGGTAAAATCGTCACCAAATAATACACAGAATTGCATGTGATTATGGCATTTTGATATTACAACACATGCTCACTCACACACGCACACGCACACGCACACGCACACGCACACGCACACGCACACGCACACGCACACGCACACGCACACGCACACGCACACGCACACGCACACGCACACGCACACGCACACGCACACGCACACGCACACGCACACGCACACGCACACGCACACGCACACGCACACGCACACGCACACGCACACGCACACACACACACACACACACACACACACACCACACACACACACACACACACACACACACACACACACACATGCGCGCGCGCACACAAACAAACTGCACTGGCTGCACAACCTGCGTGCGTCTTGCACGTGCTGGCCGGTGCGAGCCGGCAATACACTGTCAGTGCGGCCACGCCATGGGTGTCGCGCCGCAGCCGCCGCCGCTGCCCTCCTCTGCCCTCACCTGAAGGCAGTCGAGTGCTGTCACGATGATCTTGGCCGACTTGGACTGGCACGCGAGCTCGAAGGGCAGCAGGTACTTGTCGGCGCGGAAGCCGGTGCTGTCCTGCTTCGGCAGCGGCAGCACCGAGCTGCCGTCGCCGGCCGGCTCGCCGTTCGCCTGGCACTGCTTTTTGGCCTCGTCTGGAGCGGCCCAGCTCGGTTAGCGTGTGACGACCGCAATATGCAATGGGACCAAGGTGTTTTACGGTGAATCGAGCAAGAGCGAGATCAATATGATATGGATCCAAGGTCCATGGGAATGCGTACAACATTTAAAACAATAGCTGACATTTAGTATGTAAATACACCCACACATAGCAAACTATAGACATTTATCAACAATAAAGCACCATTTATGGCACTGCATGTTGCAATCAGAACAAACTGAAATTCCTTGCACATATCACTTTAACAGAGGCCAACCAGACAGACCTGACACCAACACACCACTTCCCTCTGATGATACATTCCAGCATTTGCCAAACATGAATAGCTTCCTTCCACAAAAAAATTAACGCCCATGCTCATCTATATCTGCACTAAGATTGTCCATCATCCTCAGCCACAATTCATTTTCTGTAAGAATCATGCTGATACATGTCTGCCATTTCATAGCTCAGTTGGTTACAGCACCTGCCTCCTGATTCACCAATGCACAGCAGGGTGGGCTTGAGTTGCATCACCTTATGCACTCTTACTACCTACTGGATGGGGACAACCTACACTGGGTACAGCCACTGCACTAAACCTCAGGTTATGCCCAAGGATAGGATGTACCATGCTGAGTACTGAGGAGCATTCACCTCTCACCACAATATTCTGCTCTTGACCCAGAATTTAACAATTAAATGAGGGAGGGGCCAGGGCCCACATGACAAGCATTGCCCAGTGTTCATGCTGATTCTAGAAATTCATTAAATGAAGCTATTTTGAATAAATGCCTGAAGATTGAAAAATAGAGGGAGTTAGCCTATAAATTCTACCATTTATTTTTTGCTGGTAGCAGCCCTTCATAGACATTGAATGACCATTAACTGAGATGAAATAAGGATGTGCTGCACATATCACACATTATTTTGATTGGTCTGAAAACAAAGCAAATCCACCTTACCTATCACAATGCTTTGAAACAATTTCCCACGTCTAATAACCTTAAGCATCACAATGACAGGAAGGGGATGTACAAGCCAAGAGGTAAAAGCCTTCAGGTTCAGCTTGGAACTGCATAATTAGTGCTTCTTTAATTACTTCCATGTGGGAGCTGGAGTTGAGTCCTGACTGTATCATGGCCTTAAGCAGAAAATAGATGGCCTTTTCATTAGCTGATGCTGCATAAAGGGGGCACAGTGATGTAGGTAGTATTTCCTTAAAATAAACAAAGTGGTAAAAATTGCAGCTACATAACTTTTCACCCATGGATTTTCTGACTATATCTTCCTGGTAGGTCATGTGATATGTTGAGCTTCCAATTGTTTTACTGATCTGGGAGCATCTACTGTCTACTGATTTGATACCAAAAATATGCCACTGGCATTTATATTTGCTGGGATTGACATTATCTGGGAACACTGCCCAGCAGCCTATGGGAGGTGCAGACAGCTGTCATGATAGCCCACCCATCTGTTCTGGTCATGAAAAACTGTGAAGCCATGCAATGGTTAAAAGTAGCTAAAATCATGACTCCTGTGATCTAAAAGGCATGACAAGTATCTCAAAAGCCACAATTGAAGAAGTTATAGAGAACAGAGTAGAAGCAACCTTACCCAAAGCATCTTGGCAGGCTTTTCTGAGCTGAGAGTGATGAGGCTTCTTGGTCTCACGCTCCTGCAGGATTTTCTCCAATGCCTTGATGATGAACATTTCCTTGCTGGTTCCTGTCTTCTGCATTTCCTTAGAGTAAATTTAGGAACTATCATGAATGTAAATGGCAAATCATAACACTTCTTCTTTACTGGTACTTGATACCAATCCCAAATAGAAATATCAGATATTATGTGATTAAATTTTCACTGACTTACTGTCAGCATGCTGCAATGCCAAAACAATGATGAGTGTGGGGAAATAAGAAGTAACAAAGCATGAGCTACACAAATTCAAAAACGAATGGCTATGAAGCAAGTATATCACAACTGCATACACTTTCACAAAGTCTGGGGTCAATGCCACAGCACTCTAACCTGCCACTTTCAACAAGGTGCACAGATGGTGTAGGACACAGTGATCACATTCCCAGAGCACCATTTGATAAGTAATGCTTCAAGCCGAACACAATTTTTCAATTTCTTAGATGAAATTTTGAGAAATTGATGGCACACATACATGCCAAGGAATTGCGATCGACAGAAGCCTAGTAATGAACCTATCTGGGCTGTTACGGGAACGAGAGGTCAGCAAGTGATGTGTTCTCAACTCACACACCTTCACAACTGCTCACGCACTCGCAAACAAAGCGGAACATTTTTTCGTTCACCATCATCAGTGCGCCCATAATAACGAGCTTGAGGCATGCCATGAAACTCGCTCTAATGACATACACCCACCCAACAACACCAAAATGATAACAGCCCACCGCCCCACACACACTCAGCGAGGTACTTGCAGATGCGCTCGCTGTCGATTGCCAAGCTATCATGAACACGTCAATAAGCGTAATATGTGTAACTTTTGAACACGAACCTAATTGTTGTTCGACCAATAAATTAAAAACTGGTTTTTCTTTTTTCCCACTCAATGTATAGGAGACAGGGGTTATCATAGAAGAAATTCATGCCCTTTCCTTACATCGTTGATGTCCCAAACTTACTAAATGCTCCTGATAATTTATAGACATTTACAGCGCGCTTAAGACTTTGCAAGGGTATCAGGACAATCAATGGAGTCACTGCATTGGGACTATAGGACGTGCACTACTTGTTTCCTTCAATTGCGTGATATGGTTATGATACTTCTATTGTATTGCGTTGCTCTGAGTCTGTCAGTTGCATTCTGGATATCCAACTATGTGAGCCTTTGGATGTTTGGAAATGGTGAGGATAACGCGCGGAGAGCGGTAGCGTAGGGCCTATCACAGACTTCAACATGAGGTGAAAGCTCACAATGGCTGCTCAGAAAACAATAACATTTCGCTAAGGCACAAACTGACAATGCTGTTTGTCGAGTTTCTTTAATCTTCTTTGAATGTCCTGGGTAATGACCAAATTAAGAGATAAGAGTGATAAGAGAAAACATCAACATTGACCACAGGGCATTGTCACAGCTGTAGGCCAATTCCACAGAGGCTAAAAATGTGAAGATTTCACAAGTTATCAAAATGATGAAATATCAATACTGGCCACAAGACATTGGCATAACCAAAGGCTAATTTCACAGAGGTGGAATGTTGGAAGATGTCAAGATTGGTTCAATAATTCATGTGGTATAGGATATTTTAAGTACTTTTATATCATTTTATAGACAAATTGATGATCACTAATTTTCAAATGACTTGAGAAACCATGTGAGATTATGATATAGTGATCAATGTGAGAAACCATGTGATGATGTGATATGGTGATCAATGCAAATTTGTTAAGTGAGGCATGTGTAGTGTTTATGAAAATATGACTTAACATGATGTATGCAAGTGCATGGTAGATAAGATAGTAGAAATAGTCTCATTTGTCATAGAAAAACACAGCAAAAGAAAATGTAAAAGTGTTGTATTTTCCTATTTTTTTCTATAAGGAATGAGACCATTACAGGTGTCATGTATATATACATATATATATATATATATATATAATGTTCTCTGCAAATTCATTTTACTTATGCAAATACATTATATATAAACATAGGATTCACATACATATTGTGTTAAAAAAACATGTATGCATCATGTCATCATGTGCACCATGCCTGGTTCTCAGAACAGTTCACTTGAGTGCTACTTTCAATATTTTTATTCTGTCAAGAGGCTTCTCTTAAGAGCCCACCATGGATATGATTAACATTCACAAGGAAACAAATACAGAAGTAAACAAGTAGTTTTGCCAGCTATCAAGTGGCAAATTTAGTAATAGCAAATAATTTGCAAGTATCAACCTGCAACTGCTAAATGCCAACAGTGCAGAAATTGCATTTGGAGTGTAGGTGGCATTGAGTGGGTTATTATTAAAAATGCTATTGGTTTTATTGATAATGCTTAAAATGTCATGCAAATGGAAACACAGTTTTTCAGCAAAAAGTTTATTAGAATCTTACAATTCCCTTAGTTTCCTCAGGAAAGGTGGCTAAGGCAAGATGGAGAGCTGTGGTCAGTGTGCAAGGGCTATCTAAGTATAGGGATTCCATTGTAAATGGCTATCAAAATGAAGGGATCAAAGCATTTACATGAATCCTTGTCCAAGAATGTGGCAACCACAGTGGTTCATGGACTGTCTACAGATCAGGGATAGGAAGTTTAAAGTTTCATTTGAGCAAAAATGATGCCCTCAGAGCAAAGATGGATGATGACCTAGTTGTTATTAGCCATAAAAATAGCATGGGTTTGACCAGTTTGTCTGATGGGTGTTCAGGTATTGAAACATATTCTCAGCTGTCAGGAGCCATGATGTTTGGCTAAAGGCCACTTTTGGTTCCCATGTGCTGTCACCATATTAATTGCAGAGTTATTCTAATATTGGCCAACATCACTGTGTTGTGCAAATTAATTGGTGCTCAGTGAGGAGGATCTGTTCCAAATTCAAAGTTCCAATATGAGCCAGTTGAGCAGCATGTCTGTTGTGTTGACCTTGTCTTTTGTATGATCAGACATACAGCAGTGACTGTGGGGAAATGTGCCAATTTCTTAATGTATTGAGTGCAACCCAATGTCACCTTATTTTTTGGACCAACAAGTAAGAGAGTAACTGTGACTCATTTGTATGTTAATGATGACATCATCAGCTGTCTCATTGTGCAAGTCCCACCAATATGGTGATAGCAGAAGTAAATTATACAGTGTATGCATTAACCTGCATTTGATCCCTATTGTTGCTTCGACATTGGCATCGGATCACAAACATATTGATAGATTTCGAGCTCAGAATCGCCCACCGAATTGTATGTGGTTCACAGCCTCTGGATATGTTTCCCCACTCTGGAGATATACGGCGGTACCGTTCCCAGCGCAGTCTACACGCCTTTTGTGAACCCCAACAATGGCGCTTATAATAACAGGCCATCTTTTTGTTTTCCAACTTTCACATATTTCACCAAAGTTGATTGGGGTCATGTTAAAATGGCAACTTTTGACATAATTGATACAGGAAGCTCTTTGAAAAAGACCGGAGTCACGTGGTGAAAGTTACAAAGAAATTTTGAAATTTACAAAAGTTTCCTTGCCTGCAGCATAATCTCTCGAAAATACCCGAGGCTATAATGCGGTGATCGTTGCCCAGAGAGGTCTGGGACTCGCCCAGCTGTCTTTAAGGGCCTAAAAATATCCCTGGTATGTCATTTCAGATCTTCTGAAAGTATGAGGGCGTAAATTTGAGATTTGCTCGGTTATTTTGTCGTGAAATGCCACATTCCCCCATGCACATATCTATGATTAGCTGAAACCGCGTTTGCTAAAGGTTCCAGCTGCACAACCATTGCGATGTCTTCTCTGTTAAAATGTGCAGGGTGGCTGATGGGCAGCTGTAGTTTCAGACGTGTGCTCAGCCCCAAGATGGATCGCCGCCATCATCGTACCGATCTTCATCGCCCACCGGGGCTTGAAGAAGCGCAGTTTGGACAAGTCAGGAGTACTAGCAGGTGGGTGATGAGCCAGGCACATAGTCTGTTTAGTGTTTACGCTAACAAAATAACGTCTTGTGCACGTTGAGACGGGCGAAGTGATCGAGCGTGTGATACTGATCAAATGCCGTCACGTAGACGATTCCAAAAACGTAGCTAGTGCCCCCAAACGCTTTGAAATGTTGTTGCTTTTGAAGCAGGGTGAAAGAAGACGTGATATTAATGCGTTGGAAGCCCCGCCCTGCGTGAGTGCTCAACAGTCGAAGATCCACTAGTTGTGTGCGCACGACGACAAATAGCTTTGCATCAAATCTGACCGGTGAAACCTTGCGCTGACGGGAGGGGCAGAAAGCATTTCCCAATACACTGTTTCAAGTTAGCTGCGAATCGAAATACATAATCCTTGTACTTCATTGTGTTGTAAGATTATTCGGAATACTGTCCTCGCCAGTGTCGTTCTTGTTTACCCAACGTTTTGGTCTGATTCTTCTCCCCGGCCTTTCTTGCGTGTCAGCTCATCCTGAGAAGGACATGAGGGTACTTAGCGTATTTTTAGCGGATATGCACAGCTGTCATATGCACATATCACACAGCTGAAATGTTTTTGGTCACGTTGTGCTTTGTATGCTGGACCATGCCGTGCATATTGCACATTGTATCCCAGTCTGTACAGGTTGTCACCGATAAAAACCGGTAACCGGTTCAGCCAACTGAAAATGGCGTGTTTACCGCTCTTTGTCGGTGACAACCTGTACAGACTGCGATACATTCCTGAAGCTGATAGCCACAGTCACACTTCCTATGAAATGAAGTTACAGTGACCAGCAATGGCGAACTGTAAAAGCACACTGATGCAACGATAGGATCCAACAAGTATTTTGCTTGCTCTTTGTTTATGCATCAAGCAGCACCTGAACCTGTGGCCTGAGGCCGTCGGCCATGAGTCATGTGATGCACGACTGCTCCTACAATCAGCCTGGCGATGTGCTACCACTGCATGGTGTTGACTATTTGTCATTTGACGCCATCTGACCAGAGGCAGACGGCTGCCATCTGACCAGAGGTAGTCAGCTGCCATCTGACCAGAGGCAGTCAGCTGCCATCTGACCAGAGGCGGTCAGCTGCCATCTGACCAGAGGTGGTCAGCTGCCATCTGACCAGAGGCAGATGGCTGCCATCTGACCAGAGGTAGTCAGCTGCCATCTGACCAGAGGTAGTCAGCTGCCATCTGACCAGAGGCGGTCAGCTGCCATCTGACCAGAGGCGGTCAGCTGCCATCTGACCAGAGGCAGACGGCTGCCATCTGACCAGAGGCAGACGGCTGCCATCTGACCAGAGGTAGTCAGCTGCCATCTGACCAGAGGTAGTCAGCTGCCATCTGACCAGAGGCGGTCAGCTGCCATCTGACCAGAGGCGGTCAGCTGCCATCTGACCAGAGGCAGATGGCTGCCATCTGACCAGAGGCAGACGGCTGCCATCTGACCAGAGGCAGATGGCTGCCATCTGACCAGAGGTAGTCAGCTGCCATCTGACCAGAGGTAGTCAGCTGCCATCTGACCAGAGGCGGTCAGCTGCCATCTGACCAGAGGCAGACAGCTGCCATCTGACCAGAGGTAGTCAGCTGCCATCTGACCAGAGGTAGTCAGCTGCCATCTGACCAGAGGTAGTCAGCTGCCATCTGACCAGAGGCGGTCAGCTGCCATCTGACCAGAGGCAGACGGCTGCCATCTGACCAGAGGCAGACGGCTGCCATCTGACCAGAGGCAGACGGCTGCCATCTGACCAGAGGCGGTCAGCTGCCATCTGACCAGAGGCGGTCAGCTGCCATCTGACCAGAGGCAGACGGCTGCCATCTGACCAGAGGTAGTCAGCTGCCATCTGACCAGAGGTAGTCAGCTGCCATCTGACCAGAGGTAGTCAGCTGCCATCTGACCAGAGGCGGTCAGCTGCCATCTGACCAGAGGCGGTCAGCTGCCATCTGACCAGAGGCAGACGGCTGCCATCTGACCAGAGGTAGTCAGCTGCCATCTGACCAGAGGCGGTCAGCTGCCATCTGACCAGAGGCAGACGGCTGCCATCTGACCAGAGGTAGTCAGCTGCCATCTGGCCAGAGGCGGTCAGCTGCCACTTGATCAAAGATGGTCAGCCGCCATCTGACCAGAGGTGGTCAGCGTGGCACACGTGCGCCGCTTTGTACGCCACGAGAAATATCTGTCCGCTGCCCTGTCTGCCAAAATGGTCGGGGGCAAAATATCAGTTGAATTGAAATAGTATTCCCTAGGCGGATGGATAAGGGTGCGAGCAAAGACCTTTACGCTACATATACTCCTATCTGTTTATCCTCATTGTTCGTGGATAAGGATGCAATTACAGTTGCAAGAGTTATTTTCATGCTGCATAACTGTGAGGTGGTGAAAAACTCGCTGCATTTCAGGTCTGATTGTTGGCTTTCTCCTCACCCTGGGAAACTGGACGTTCTTGGCAATGCTGCTGACCTTCTTTTTATCATCGTCGAAGGCCACACGTTTTAGAAGCAAACAGAAGCAAAGGTTTGAGGACGATTTTAAGGAAGGTAAGTGTGTAAGGTACTTGTCTTGAGAATGTCAACTTTTTTATTTCAGTTTATCCTTCCAGTTGGCGGTGGGTTATGTGTATGGTGCGACATCGTTTTGCCTGATTTCAAGCTTGGCCATGTTTGACCTTAACTGACCTGAAGGTCACGATCTTAAGCCCTAAAAGTGCGCCCAAATTAGCACATTGAGTTCTACGTATCATGTAAATTTGGTGTTGTTGGCTCTCTTAATTTTTGGTATTTCAGGGCAGATCAAGCTGCCCTACAGATCAAGCTAACCCTCACCAAGACGCATTGCACTTAACCGGTACTCGTGCAAGGACACTAATCTGCTACTGACGGGAAATTCCTTGGGTTTAGCAAAACCACAGAGGGCAATCGCCAGGGCAAGACCCCCGCTGCCAGAGCGCTGAGCCGTTGCTCCTCCCCTTCCGCAGGCGGTCAGCGCAACTGGCGACAGGTGTTCTGCAATGGTGGCGCCGCCGCCCAGGCCGCCTGTCTGTACCTGATCGAGTGCGGCTGCCGCGAGACGCCCGTCGACTTCCACGCCGACTTCCACGGCTCCGTGCTCATGCTGGCCGTGCTCGGTAAGACGGAACTTGGGAGAGAGCCGGGATGGTGCGATGGGACGTGGGAATATCGGTGCGGCCCTGACTGACCCGTCACCGTCGGAAAAAAGCAACCACCAAGTGTTACGCGCCGGTTGCCCGGTGTGTGCGAAGTTGGACATCGGGTCGATGGATTAGCGCTGGGAACGACATTCTGGAGAGCATCCTGGCTGATGGCAAGCGGAAAACCGGGAGCTCTTGTCTGGATTTGCGGACCTCGGTGCGAGGTGTTCAGGTGGGAATGCTATGGGGTGGGTTTCTGAGGTCGGTAGGCATGAGCTCTCCGCTTGACCGTTTTGGAGGTTGACGCATGAGTCCGCAAGGAGCCGCCATGCGACTTACTCTTATGTGAACGTCAAAGTGGTGAATACTGGCTCTGCCACCTCAGTGTACCGTTTGCCTGAGCTTCGGAGCGGTGTGACTGGTGTGGCTGTTGCCTTCTTCGTTTTCCGCCATGTCGATTGTCGCTGAGAATCAGAAACACAGCCGATGGCAAGTGCCTACATGTTCGTCTTGACCGTAGATTTCGGCGTTAGCTGGTGAATGCTTGTAACGATGACCTTTGTATGGTAGCTCCAGCATAACCGGTCGAAACAGACAGATATCCAAGCGATGTGGAGCACAGTTTATGCTGACAGCGGCCGTTTCGAATCTGTTGACCTTTCCGGGAGCCTGCGCACAGTCAAATTCAAGATGGTCTGTCTCTTATCTGCTGAGTGCGACGGCCGGCGTGTCCGACCGTGGCGCGTGTCCGACCGTGGCGCGTGTCCGACCGTGGCGCGTGTCCGGCCGTATCGCGTATCCGGCCGTGGCACGTGTCCGGCCGTGGCGCGTGTCCGACCGTGGCACGTGTCCGGCCGTGGCGCGTGTCCGACCGTGGCACGTGTCCGGTGGTGGCGCGTGTCCGACCGTGGCGCGTGTCCGGTGGTGGCACGTGTCTGGCCGCGGCGCGCGTCCGACCGTGGCACGTGTCCGGCCGTGGCGCGCGTCCGGTGGTGGCGCGTGTCCGGCCGTGCCACGTGTCCGGTGGTGGCGCGTGTCCGGCCGTGCCACGTGTCCGGTGGTGGCACGTGTCCGGCCGCGGCGCGCGTCCGGGTGGTGTCGGCGCGCTCCATCGGCCGCCGCTGACTGGACGCCCCCTCGCGGCAGGTTCGCTGGCCGCCGCCAACGCCGACACGTGGGCTTCCGAGCTGGGCACGGTGCTGGCCGGCCGGGGCCCGGTGCTCATCACCACCCTGAAGCGGGTGCCCACAGGTACGCGCCCCGACCGCGGCCGGGGGTGCACCCGGCGACCGGGCCGGCCGCCGCCTGGCCTCGCTTGCAGCGTGCTGCTCACAGCTCTGTGCTAATGAGCGGAGGCCTACCGTGCAAAAGAAAGCGTGCGGTCCGCAGTGGAGGTCGCGTTATATACGGGCCTGCTGATGCTACTTAGTGCAGTTTTACCATGCGCCTGGCTTTCGCACGGTGTCAACTGGTGCGCCTTACGTTTCTGTTGTTGCTGTACCTCATGCCCTCTTAACCACCGGCCTGTTATTAGTGCGCTCTCTGCATTGTTACCGTGTCGCTTTCCCGACTTTCGCTTACATCAGGCGTGCATGGACAGCACGTTTAGTTTGCATCGGCTGTAGGTTCGGCGCGCTGTGACCATGCGCTGGCCATGCCTTCAGCGTAGTTTCCTCGTGAATCCATCGCGCGTTGCGCGGCACGTGGAACACCTGCCCTTAAGCCCAGCGTTCAGTTCTCGCACCTGCACCCCGCTCTGGCCTACAGTCGACGCTCCCTCTGGCAGGCACCAACGGCGGTGTGTCGCTGGCCGGCCTGCTGGCCAGCCTGCTGGGCGGCGCGCTGGTGGGCCTGGCGTGCTGGCTGACGCAGCTGGCGGTGCTGGGCAGCTGGACGCTGCACGGCCGGCCGCCGCAGTGGCCGCTGCTCACCGTCGGCCTGCTCTCCGGCCTGTTCGGCAGCCTGCTGGACTCGCTGCTCGGCGCCACGCTGCAGTACTCAGGTCAGCGCGCCGCGGCTGCTGCTGCTGCTGCTGCTGCTGCTGCGGCTGCTGCTGGTGCGGTGGAGTCAGCGCTGACGTCACATGCGCCGGCGGCCGCGGCAGAGGTCAATGGTTAATTAACGCTTGGCTCGGACCAAAGCTCAGATGTCGTTGTAGTGCGCGGGTCGAGGCCAGTCTGTGGTACTGGGGTCGGCAGGTGTGGTGGCGTAGTGTTCAGGCTTGGTCCGCAGGTGTGACGTGGGACGGGTCAGGCCAGGTCAGGTCAGCGGTCGAGGTGTAGTGCAGTACTCAGTGCCGAGTGACGCGGCTGAGTAGCGGTGCGTTAGGCCAGGCGCCTGGCCGCAGTTAAGACCCGCGTCCCATCACTGCCCACCCTGCTCAGGTGTGACGGAGGAGGGCGTGGTGGTGGAGCGGCCGGGGCCGGGTGTGCGTCACATCTGCGGCCGACCTGTCATCGACAACCACTCCGTCAACCTGCTGATGACCATCGCCACCGGCTGCGTGGCCCCCGTCATCGGCTACTGGATCTGGCCGGCCGGTCGCTGACCCCATCACCAGGGGACGCCATTTGGCACTGGCGCTAGGTCGTAAGCGCCTGTCGACCGGAGGATGATACTATGCTACAGGCTGGGGCATCGGCTAAGGATTTTTTGTAGAGCACGATGTAGCTTGCTTTCTAGCAACTGGTATTCTGGTGGGTCCGACGGACTCGGCAGTTAAGTTTGCGTGTTGGCGAATTGTGGGTCGTCACAGCTGTAGTTAGGGCCGCCGTTGTCATAGTAACGTCTTCCATTGTGCCGCTTCCAGTCTGCCGGCAGCATTGTACGTACTGTGGAGGATCGCTGACGCTGGGCTACAGCGTTGCAGTCACTTGTCTTTTGTTGGGAGGGGCATCTACTCGTGCCGAACCCATGTGGCTCAAAATATATTGTCTAGCAGCTGGAATGATATTATGTGCTCCAAACTTGACTAGGCGAATCATCCTCCTGCATGCGTAATTATTTGCGTTCAAGACCTTGCGCGCCAATGTACTGTGCCGTTCTTTACGAGAACGTGTCAATTTACGTATGTTGTTAAGTGCATTTGCGAGGAACATTATACATTAAGATAAGACAATACTGGTAGCCTTATTCCATTTAGAGTAACCAGGAGAAAGGAGAGATAAATGTATTGATATTTTGGCTACATGGCTTTATCAAACCAATATGACCAGGAAATTCCAAATCTGAAATTGCTGACCCCACTCGATTTTTTCTTTGTTAATACAGCGAACCACAGTTTTCACAAGTCACCAACATTCAGAGGATTAAACAAGGATCAATTTCCAGACACGAATATGCTATAGTGGATATCCAACTAAGCATTAAAATGCATTAAGATGCATGTGTCTTTCCTTGAATGCGTTATTTCTTGAATTTGCGTATATGTACACGTATTTTTACGTTTCTGATATTTTGTGGGGTATATACTGTATCATACACAGTATATGCTGACAATGCATATGCAGTATAAGCTGGCAGTGGCCACTGTTTAATCCCCTGCGTGTTGGTGACTTGTAGAAACTGTGACTCGCTGTTTAAACAAACCTGAAAAATCGAGTGGGGCTGACAAGCAATTTAAACCTTTGAATTCACCACTCACATTTGGTTCGATAAAGGCAGGTGGCTGAAACGTCATTGCGTTTATCTCTCCTTTCGGGCTATTCTAGGAGGAATAAGGCTAACACTAGCGTCTTATCTATAGGGTGCCAATTTATTGCACTGGTTTATGTGCAAACTCAGGTCGTGACTGCTGTTGCTTCGGGTGCACCGGGTGTATCGTGGCACGGATGCTGCATGTGTTTGTGTTCCTTGCACCGGCATGTCCACGCTCGCACTTGTGTTTCACTGCACCGGGACGCGCGACCCCCGGAGTGTCGGGGGCACGTCACGCTCCCCTCGGGCCGTGACGCCGGGTCCAGGTGTTAATCCTCCCAGGTGGTGTGGTTGGCCGTTTGTGTCTGCCGTCCGCTGCAAGCGGTACGTTTACTTTTTATTAGCAGCGTGTGTGGTGATCAATCCGTTGACGGTTTTCCATAGTGCAGCTCGCCAGCGGCAAGCAATACACGTTTCGCTTCTGACTGTGGTGCACGATGATGGGTCGCAGTTGCGTACGTCTAACAAAGGACGTTATCGAGCTGCCTGTGCTGACACTTTTGTAATGAAGATCAATCCGTTTGAAATCCGTTTGAAATCAATCCGTTGACGGTTTTCCAAAGCGCAGCTCGCCAGCGGCAAGCAATACACGTTTCGCTTCTGACTTTGGTGCAGGATGATGGGTCGCAGTTGCGTACGTCTGACAAACGACGTTATCGAGCTGCCTGTGCTGAAACTTTAAATGAAGAACAGCTAGTTTTCAGTTCGCACACAATCGTCCACTGACGCACGCACACACGCATGCACGAGGAGCATATCGAAACCCATCCGCACCGGCCCTGCTTTCCAGGCGGCCTGTCAGATTTCTGGCTGTTTGAAAACCTGAAGGAGAGCCTCCGTGCATGTCAAGCCATCACAGCTGCAGGAAAGGCTGGGAACGGTGTGTGGAGGGGAAGGGAGGCAAAGGCTGAGAAATCAGTGCAGTTCCCCTTCTCCTGCATTAACACATGCGTTTTGTTATGGAAGAGAATAGCTGCTTTTTAACTTAACTTTGTAGATGCTGAGTGAGCTTGTGTCTTATGAGCCGCTGTTAAGTTTTAAATTCATCATTTTGGCGGTCCATCACAAGGTCAAATAGGAGTTAGAATTTGTTTTGTATTTCCTCATATACAGATGGACACGCAGATTTTAAGGACGTTTGTCTTTGAATAAATTATTTGCTAAACAGACACGTGGTAATTGAAACGGCTATGTCACGTCTTCCTCACTAAGTAGGAATGCCATCTTGGACCTAAGACGTCACATTTGCTGTCAGTTGTGTCCAAGAATGTGTGGTGTGCTGCAAACCGTTTAAACCCGCCACTGCATTGCGTAATGGCACGGTAATGCCATAACACCAAGAAACTACAACACTGATGTCTTGATGAAATTCTACTGACCACAAACACCCCACTTCAAAATTATTCAAGGGAAATGTTTGAAGGTTGGTCCCTGCCAGTCCGGCAAGCAGTTCACGGAACACTTGCTGAAAGTCATTCTTCTACATGGTACAGGATCATAGAAAGCTTATAAACTTAAACAAAACGAGTAAATGCACATGTCGACTCGTATTGCAATGCTTCTGTATGATCCACCAAATGTGTCAATGCCTAGACAAGATTAGAGGGTTCTAATTTTTGGATTTCGACCTCGGAATTACTTATACACGAAATGTTTCCAGGTGCGCAATGCACAGAGAAGATACGCAACCGTGTATGGTCGTATCTATTTGCGTTCTACAGCTACCGCAAAAACACGACGGTGTAAGTGGTGATGACACGCGATGGACATTGACGAGGGCGTATGGAAAAGCAGCTGTACCTGGAGAATGAAATATTTTGGGTCGAAGTACGCACATTGTAATTCAATTTTAGTTCCACCTTTCTCTTAAAAAACAATGCCTTATGTTCATAGGTTGCATGCACGTGACGCTCCAATCACCCATCACCTCATCATCCGACTTTAAACTCCAGGCACGGGGTGCCGGCGGGGTAGTGGTTAACGCGTCTGCGTTGGCTACTGCGCGTCTGGGAAACCAGAGGTACGGGGTTCGATTCCCCGCGGTGCCCGCCCTTGCTGCCAGGGTGAGGGCAGGCGGCGCCATATAGCCTCAGCAGCTGAGTGCGTCGTAAAGTCCCAATCACACACAAACTCCAGGCGTGCGGAAGACAATAACATCGAATGTACTCGAGCAGTATGGGGGAAGATCCCCGAATTGTCTTGGAACACTAGTAGCATCGCACTAGCATTCTTTAACAATGCAATCCTACCGATGAGAGACAACTTTTTATGACAGCAATCGAGAACAAGGTCCCCTCAGTAAATATCTGTGCCGAGGGTACATATTCTTTTACAAGAGATTGTCAAGATATGGGGAGTATCCCTGCCTCTCCGACGATAGAGGGGAACACGACCTCCCCGTCGCTCCGGTGGCGCCGTCCCTGCCCGGACGCGCTAAATGGATTCATCATTGGCTACCGGTACACTATCGTACACACGTTCAAGGTTGACACCCCTGGCGTGAGGGTAGGATGGAGCGATAGACCGTACGGGCCCGTACGGTCTATGTTCAGTATTTGTGAATGTCTTCTGTCGAATGCTCTGTTCTGAAATTATCATGTTTGCATCTTTGAGCCTCCCCTGTTCTTGTTTTGTACTGGTGTCAAGAATCACGACTGTTTTGCCCCAGTTGTTTGTTGTTTTTTGTTTTGTAACACCGCCGAACCCAGAATAACGGCGGTTTTCATTTCACTAAGCTAGAACATTTGGAGGAGCCCAGCGGCTCCAAATACTGAATGTGCAAAATCCAATGAAAAACAGTGACGAGAAATAAATGTTGCGAAATAGCAGCGTGGTATGTTGTTGCTTCAAATTTAGACAGTTGCAGATACCGCAGCTTACGTGGTTACTCCGCAAAAGCGAGGTAACATGTGGACGATTTTGATTTTGCTTAACTTCGTTTTTTTACATAAAATTTCGCAAACAACTTACGAGCTAGTAGGCCAATGTGATAAAACAATACACGCACACAGCTTACTCCATGAATTATTATTTCCGTGAATGAACGTGTTTGGGTAACTTATGCCTATATTCGACACTTCGATATGTTGCATAGTGAAAACGTGCTAGATCAGACGCAAAATTTATCCATTTCTTTGCCTGAGATCTGCAAAAACGTGTCGATGTCCAATGGGGTCCAGCATCTGGCTGATGATGGGCATTATTTTTTTCACAAATGACCCATTGTTGGCAGCATAAATGCAGAAAGATGACGCTTACCTGACAGGACTGCGAAAGATTGATACATAATTGTTATGTATAAATGTGTCTGTGTTGATGGATGGCGTTGAGAAAACCAATGCCACTTTATAAAGAAACAGGGGCACCTTTCCTAGCCGTTTTTGTAATGATTAATTCAGGAAATACAGATATCATGCAAGATGAAAGTTATTGACATGCTTATTATGTCTAGTTATATATATATATATATATATATATATATATGTATATATATATGTATATATATATGTGTGTGTGTGTGTGTGTGTGTGTGTGTGTGTGTGTGTGTGTGTGTGTGTGTGTGTGTGTGCGTGTGTGCGTGTGTGCGTGTGTGTGTGTGTGTGTGTGTGTGTGTGTGTGTGTGTGTGTGTGCGTGTGTGTGTGTGTGTGTGTGGTGTGTGTGTGTGTGTGTGTGTGTGTGTGTGTGTGTGTGTGTGTGTGTGTGTGTGTGTGTGTATGTGTGTGTGTGTGTGTACATAGATGTATGCATTTTATGCTTATGTCTGCGCGAGTGCACAAATGTAAGAAAAGTAAACTGGAGGCGGATGAAAAATTTACCCTGCGTATGAGGGAGTCAGTTAAAGCGTAGATTTGTGGGGCACAGATACACCCGGCTGCTCATTTGAAGTCGAGCACAGACCTGGGCTCTGGCGCTGTATGCTTTGCTGGTCAGAATTGGGACATCCTGCAACAAAAACAAGGCGCACAGTCCCGTAGCAAGCACACTGGACATTACTGGGCGCAATGCAACACTTGCTTGGGGTCGTTATTCATGTCCTAAAAACTAGGGATGTCATCATCTCTGAAGAGATGCGAGAGATGTGGGAACCTGAAAGCGATTGCGCCGAGTGAATCGCCACGCTGCCGTCACATCCCTGCGACCAAGAGCCGCGTGTTGTCTGTGACGCGCTGCCTGTGTCAAGAACCAGACGCCGTCGGGGTGTTTACGTTAATGCTGGGATGGTGCTCGTTTGACCCGTGCCAGCCTCCCGGCCAGAGAGTTCCTCCGCGAGCCACACGTTCTTCCCAAGCGCCACGCGTCCTCGTATCTGCCTGTAGAGAAGCAGCCAGCTCCCCAGCCACCATGAAGCGGACTATTAGCACCAGCAGGTCGGCCGCACCTCAGTTCCCGTACAAGTAAGACTGTTTGTTTATTTGGCATGCGGTCAGCTCCACAAAATATGTCTATTTTGTGTACTGGAGCATGGGCGCAGGTCAGTGCGCACAGGTGCAGTTCCTTCGCACTGGTGAA